GGACATTGCGCCTATTCTGACGCAGTCTGAACATGGGGTAGGGAGCCAGGCAAACGGTGAAGGGTCTGCAATAGGGGATGCGAGAGTTGATCTCTCTGAACCACTGTGGACCAAAGTTGTAGGAAGAAAGGCAGGGACCAAGAAGAAGGAGGATGCGGCGACCAAGCCCAAACCGCCGCCTGTAACGAGAGTTCCGAAAACGGTGAAACTGCGGACCAGAGTGCCTCGCACGGAAGCAGTTGTGATCGGCCCCCTAAGGGAAGGTCAAAAGTATGCCACGGTAATGGGCATAGCCATGGCTGCTGTCGACCTCCAGGCCCTGGGCATTGAAGTGTCCGGGACCCGGAGAACCCAGGCGGGGGCCGTCCTACTGGAGGTCCGGGGAACCGCGGAACAAGCGGACCTTTTGGCAGCCAAACTGAAGATGGCCCTACAGGAGATGGACGTGCGGGTTCACCGACCTTCGATGACCTGCACTGTCCTTCTCCTGGACGTGGAGGAGTGGCAGGAGGAGCGAGACGTGCACCGAGCACTTTGCACCGCCCTGAAGTCTCCTGACGGAGAAGTGCCGCCGCACGTGGGACCAATCACGGTCCACACGAACACCGGCGGAAAAGGGCGGTATGCAAGGTGTGAGGTGCCCCTCAGAGTTGCCCATCGCCTGACATCGATTAACCGAGTACGGTTAGGTTGGACATCCTGTAGGCTGAGGATTCTTGATAAAGGTCCTCAGTGCTACAGGTGTCTGGAACGTGGGCACATCGCCCATGCTTGCAAAGGGCCAGACAGGTCGAAGGCCTGTTTCAGGTGCAGGAAGGAGGGGCATCAATCAAAAGACTGCCCCAGCCAAAAAGTAGGTTGGAATCAAAATCCGACCGTCAGTTGTGATGATAGCCCACCCCCACCTCCACGTGGTCAAACCCGGGCAACGGACCCTCTAGTGGGGTCCGGCTAACGGGGGGGGCTACGCCGTGCTGGGATTTCTCAGCGCGGTGATGTGAAGACGAAGGCGACGTAGGCCGCCCCGAAGCAATGCCTAACGGCAGTTNGGAGACAAGGGAACCGATGACTTGAAAAAGTCAAAGGGAACCGAAGCTCAAAATCCTGAGGACAAGAGTCAAGAACCTCCATGTAAGAAAACTCATTGGGTACCGACCTACAGGGACGTGGTAACCGATGATAAAAAAGTGGCTCTGGTCCTCGCAGGCTACCCCACTAACAAGTTGACCACAGAGCAGGGGCTACTCATTGAGTCTTGTGTTGGAGACTTGATACTGTCGGGTACTGATAGAACCGACGTACCAAAGTTTGAAGACACCAGACTCACTGATGGCCCGTTGCGCTGCGTTACAGTGTTGGCGTGATCGGGCTCTACGGGGCTACGAAACGTCGGCACGAGCGCAGTCTCCCTAGCTCGGGGAATCGGGCGCGTCCTCAGGTTGCGGATAGAGGAACGGCCTGGAGATATGCAGGTTAGCCGCGAAATAAGCAGTCCATTAACTTGGACTGACAAATAAGCGGTCGCGGACAATGAGCCGCCCAGACGCTCGTTAACCCTGTAGATATNGAGATATGCAGGTTAGCCGCGTAATAAGCAGTCCATTAACTTGGACTGACAAATAAGCGGTCGCGGACAATGAGCCGCCCAGACGCTCGTTAACCCTGTAGATATACAGGGTACCCGTGAAATAAGCCATTATGGACGAATAAGTGATAGCGTTTGGGTGAGAATGGAGATATATGGCAATGCAACCAGTGTAGTTAACCACTCACTAGCCGGAGGGACTGGCTATGAGGGCAGCCCCCTCAGAAAATTATTTTATATGAATAATGGCAAATACGAAGAAAAAGGTTACTGCATCAGGGGATTCGGATGCCCCAGTGCCGGCGGTTGGTGGGGGGTGTACCCACCAGGTGTCGTTATCAAACGAATACACAGTAAATGCAGGAGTGTTGAGGCAGGCTCCTGCAGCCAACCACGGGGTTGGTACTGCGACTGCAGGGAGTGGTGGTGACCAAGCCACTCCCACCGGTGAAATAGCCGGGAGGATATTGGCAACGGATTGCACGGATTATACGGACTTGACGACGGCCATCTCCCTGGATGCGTCTCCAAAACCCTCCATATTGGAGAGATTTCGGAGCGCGTCTAGGGGCGGTTCGCCGAGGGTAGGACCTTCTGGTTCAACCATTGGGGGAGTCAGTGAAGTCGTGGCGGCTGAGTTGGGGGAGGACGATTCCTTGCGTCCCAAACGCAAGGAGATCTCCCCAACGGTCAGCCCACCCACCATCATTTTGGAGGACACCCCGCCCGGCGCGGTTGTGCCCATGCCGGCGACTCCTCTGCCGGTCTTGGCCAAGAAGCCTAAGTTGGTGCCCCTGACTGCAGTTGATCTCTTCAACGCTGACGGGACACCAAAGAGGGTGATCGGTCGGGCCGACGAGGTGTTGTCGGCTGGGCTAGACCTCACCAGGGAGCAGGCGGACCAGCTCTCCGACGTGCTGGAGGTCTATAGCCCTCACAGGCGAGTGGTGAAGATGGCTACGGCCCTTATTGAAACCATAAGGGCCTTGGCTGATTTTCACCTCACCAGCTCGCCTGGGAGGAGATCGCCTGCACTAATGTCGGAGAGCCCCAAGTGCCTCCAGGACTGTGCGTCCCAGACAGAGTACTGGTGGGACACTTGTGGCCCACCATCTAGGCCCGTCGGGGACGCAGCGTCCCACCTAGATGGCGGTGAGGTAGCAATGGGTGCACTTCCGCTTGCCGTCGCCGCCGCCAAGAAGCGGAGGAAGAAGAAGAAGGGGAAGAGTAAAGACGCTGCGTGTCTTACTGCGGACATCGCAGCGCCCTTGCCACTCAGCGGCGCAGCTCCCCTTCTTTCTCCAAGCGCACCTGCCGCCGCTCCAACCCCTCCTCCAGGCACCTTGTGGTCAGAGGTGGTAAAGCGGAAGGGGGCAAAGAGGGTGGAGAGAACGACAGCGGATCCCAAGGCGGAGGTCCTTGTTGGGCCCATGCCAAAACCACCGCCACCGTCGCGTGGCCCGACTGCCGCCCAGCTCCGGGCCAAAGTCCCGAGAACGGAGGTGCACAGTGGGACCAAACGCTGATTTAGCCGGCCAAAAGTACCAGTTTTAAATCAACTAATAAAAATTTTTTTTTTAGCAAATTTTTTTTATTATATCCTTATAAGGTCATGTACAAAAATTCAAGGCCAAAAATTGATATAGTAATGGTTGGGTGCTATTTAAATATCATAACACTGTATTTTTTTGTTTTTTTTCTAGGATTTTTATTATTTCTTCAATCATTTTTTCCTGCTTAATTAAAAACCTTAATTTTTTTTTTTTTAATTTAAAATGTTTAAAAAGTCATCGGCTTTCAAATTTACTAAGAAAAAATTTTTATTTCTTTTTTTTTTTAATTTTAATAATTTTTTACACACAAAAAAATGCAAATACTTATTTTACATTGTTTTTTAAAGAGTTTAACTCAAAATTACGCAATATTACGATTACACCAATACATGCATGTTGTAGAAGAACTCTTAAGCTACAATTACAAAAAAAAAAATTTTGCGTCAGATTGCATTTGAGCCCTGCACATAGAATTTCCCTATAATAAACGTGTATTTTTGTAAAAATTGTAATTTTAATAATTTCATTGGTTTTATCAGTTCGATCAACTTTATCAGCTTAAAAGTTGTAAAAATTAGATGTAATTAAAACTAATGATTCGTTAAAATTAAGTTTAAATAAAGTTTTTAATAATATACATCAAATAAAATAAATATACAATTATACAATTTTACCGTGCCACTAAATATTGTTTTATTTTAGAAATACTATTATATTATTGTTAATATAGTTTATTATTGTTAACACTTACCACATACTACTTGATTATCCATTATTTAAAAATAATAGAATAATTTTTACAACTTTTAAATTAAAACAAAACTGCAATTAATTCACTTTGAAACTTATAAAAAATATGTGCAAATTATTATGACGTAACGCGCCGTTTGTAACATGTAACACAATCTGATTAAACAGAAAAATGTTTTGGTAACTTTATTTAAACTTAATTTTAACGAATCATTAGTTTTAATTACATCTAATTTTTACAACTTTTAAGCTGATAAAGTTGATCGAACTGATAAAACCAATGAAATTATTAAAATTACAATTTTTACAAAAATACACGTTTATTATAGGGAAATTCTATGTGNATTGAACGTGCGGCCCAGCGGGCTCAGAAGGTCATGGACCGACTGGCGGGACTGATGCCGAATATCGGGGGACCGAGAGAACATCTGTTAGTCAGCGTCCTTCACTCGGTCCTACTTTACGGGTCCCCTGTCTAAGCGGGTATACTGGAGTACTCGCCCAAGAACGTAGAAGCGTTGAACCGGGTCCAGAGAATGGCCGCTCTCTGGACGGTGTGCGCATACCGCACCGTATCCGGAGTGGCGGCCAGGATCCTGGCTTCTCTGCCGCCCACGGACCTGTTGGCGGTAGTTCCAGGGCGGTCCACAATATGCCGGTTTGTGGAAAAAAAAAAAAAAAAAGGCTGAGGATTCTTAACAAGGGTTCTCAGTGCTACAAGTGTCTGGAACGTGGGCATATTGCCCACGCGTGTAAGGGACCGGACCGGTCAATGGCTTGCTTTAGGTGCAAGAAGGAGGGGCACCTTTCAAAAGATTGCCATGATAGCAGCAAAAAAATAGAAGGTCGGGTTTTAAATCCGACCAGCAAGAAGAAAGACGGCCTACCCCCACCTCCACATGGTCCAACCCGGGCAACGGACCCTCTAGTAGGGTCCGGCTAACGGTGGAGGCTACGCCGTGCTGGGATTCGACTCTGGTGTAAACTTGGGCCGTATCTCAGCGCGGTGGTAAGAAGACGAAGGGGACGTGGGTCGCCCCGAAGCAACGCCTCACGGCAGTTCCGGGGCGGTCCACATCATGTCAAAAGGGAGAAAAAAAAAAGACTCATTGATGGAGCACTTGTGCTCCATCAATGGACAACCATGTCAACCTGATAAAACCTTGGGATGTTGTAGAGCTCCATTTGGAAGCCTACAACCCGATCAAGTATAAACGGATGGTCACTCATATACCAGGGCTGCCAAAAGAGTCCAAGAAGATCTTGGAAATTTTGGCAAAACAAAACCCAGGTTTGAACACGGCGATCTGGANACTAAACCCAGGTCTGAACACGGCGATCTGGAAAGTCCACCATGAGACAGAGGTTGGCCCGAAAGGACAAACTTTGTTCCTAAGTGTGGACGAAAAGAGCATGGTCAAACTGGAAGAACTGAAGCGCAGTCCATATTTTGGAATGGGCAGAGTTTGCTTTACAGATTATGTTGCCAAGCAGTCACCAGCCCGGAAGGATGTGAGAAAATCCATTCCTCAAAAATCTGGGAAGAGGAATCACCAGTGGCACTCGGAAAAGAAGGTAAGGCACAGGTAAGGAACAAACGGACACACTTCACTCCTGCCTCGAAAGAGAAGGGAGGAAGTGTGTTACGTAAGGGAAAAGGACCATGGAAACCGCCACCCTCAATAACGGCCACAGCTGAGGGGAACCTCTCCAAAAGGAAATGTGGAGAGCGAACCTAAGGTACGGTCACCACCTGGTGATGGTGGGGGGACACCATCCATAGGNGTGAAGGTGGGGGGACACCATCCATAGGGGGGGGGCTGTGTGACACAGGGACTGTTTCAGACACCTGTATCACACCCAGTACAGCGTGCTTTCTCAGGCGTCAACATCAGTTTTTCTGAATGGCTGACAATAGAATTCAATTTACGCAAATAAACCTGCATCACAGTAAAGGGGCCAGCAGTGTATTACTAAGGACCCTAACTGAGAGGCATACAATACCCTTACAAATAGCACTTATTCAGGAATCATGAATAAATGGTGACCAGATTAAGGGGCTAAATCTAAGGGATTTTAAACTGTTACATAAACAAGCATATAAACCAAGAACTTACATTTTGGTTAATAATAAAGTTAAAGCTAGCCTGATACTTAATCTATCAAGTGCAGACTTGACTATTATTAGAGTAACACTATATGATGGTAAAAATATTATAGTAGCTTCAGGATACCTACCATATGAGGTCACAGACCCAGGTAGGGACCTAACTATGCTCTTTAATTATTGCAAAAATGAAAAATTAGAACTAATCCTAGTTATGGATGCTAATGCACACCACACTATTTGGGGGAGCAGTAACATCAACCAAAGAGAAGAGGTTATAATGGATCTATTGCTGACTACAGACCTAAGTATACTGAACAGAGGTAGTGAACCTACTTTTGTTATCAGGATCAGGCAAGAAGTCATTGATCTGACAGTTTGTTCAAAAGGGTTACTTCAAAAGATAAAAGGGTGGAAAGTGTCCTCCGAACCTTCTCTTTGTGATCATAGGCACTTACGTTTCACTTTCGAAATTAACAAAGTTGAGACGGAGTACTATAGGAACCCGAAAAGAACAAACTGGGATAACTACAGGGCAGATCTCTCTCGTGACCTGAATATTCTACAGTTTAGATTGGGGTCGAGACAGAGTACTGAAAGGGCTGTAAATATGCTACAGGACTCCATTGTCTCGGCCTACAAAGAAAACTGTCCTTTCATAGAAAGGAAAGGTACAGGGCAGTGCGTAGCTTGGTGGAATGCTAACCTGTCCAAATTAAGAAAGAGTTCACGTAAGCTCTTAAATAAAGCAATGAAATCAGGTTTGGAACAACACTGTGAATCCTATAAAGACGCCTAAAGGAACTACAAATCTGCATTGAAAAAGTCTAAAAGAGAAAGCTGGAAGAAGTTCTGTGGGGATATACAACAACTCCCTATAGCAACTAGACTTCTGCGATCACTAAGGAATGGACCAAACAAAACTGTCGAGGCAATACTACTGCNACCAAACAAAATTGTCGAGGCAATACTATTGCCAGACGGAATGTTCACCAATAACGATAATGAAACATTATCAAATTTGATGAACACACATTTTCCTGACTCTGCAATTAAGAACAGAGAACAGGAACATGATGCACAGGACAAACGTGTGACCTGTGCTGATTGGAGACTAACCAGGAAAGTGATAACCCCAAGTGGAATAAGATGGGCAATAAAAGCCTTTGGCAGTTTTAAAGCTGCAGGCTGTGACGAANTGCTGTGACGAAATATTCCCTGCACTTCTGCAAGAAGGGTTAGAGATAATCGTCCCCCATCTCTGCAAAATATTTAGGGCATGCCTTGCCTATTGTTATCAACCAGAAAGCTGGCGTAAGGTTAGGGTGGTGTTTATACCCAAACCTAACCGCACTAACTATTATGAAGCAAAATCCTACAGACCAATAAGTCTTACTTCTTTTCTTCTTAAGACTATGGAGAAACTTATTGATAGGTACATCAAGGAGGGGCCTCTTAAGGAGAACCCTTTACATGAAAACCAACATGCGTATCAAACGGGGAAATCTACTGATACAGCTCTACACTGCTTAACTACTAAGATAGGGAAAGCTGTAGAGAATAAAATGTATGCAGTAGGTATATTCCTGGACATCGAAGGGGCTTTTGACAATACTCCCTTCGATGCTATGTGTGAATTTGCACGACAGCATGGAATAGAACCACTTATTATTAAGTGGATGGAATCCATGCTTAAGGAACGCTCCATTTTGGGACAGCTCAATGAGACCAAAGTAATCAAGAGTGTCAAACAGGAATGCCCACAAGGCGGGGTTCTATCCCCCTTGCTATGGTGTCTAGTATTGGACTCGCTTATTAGAGAGTTAAACAAATATTGTTATACACAAGCCTATGCGGATGACTTGGTTATAGCAGTGGTGGGTAAATTCCAAGACACTATTATAGACTTAGCACAACAGAGACTTAACACTATACAGATATGGTGTAGGAAGTATCTATCTGTTAATCCAAATAAAGCAGAGGTTGTTATGTTCACTAGAAAGAGGATAGGACTAGACAGTCTTGACACTCTTACTCTAAATGGACAAGAAATTAGCTTAAGATCGGAAGTAAAATACTTAGGTATTATCTTGGATAGTAAGCTAAAATGGAAATCACATGTTGAGTCAAGAATCAAAAAAGCAATGACCACATTGTGGACTTGCAGCAGAGCCTTGGGAAAGACATGGGGTCTTAANATGATCCTATCTAATACTACAAATATTGAAGTATACAGTTTTATGATAAATTGATGGTTATTGTGTTTGTATTATTTTCATTTCGATGCTATCTATACTCAGGTAAGTCTAGTATAATGAATGATATGGGGATCATTATGAAAGATGAGATAAAAAGTAAAGTATTAGAAGTAGCTAGGAAAACTGACAGAATTATAGTCGCAAAATTGATTTTCGGGAAAAAATTGCAGAATGTAATAGGTGCCCATGCACTATAAGTAGGCTGTAATGAAATAGATAAGGAAGTGTTTTGGATAGAGATAGTTGAGGTGATTCAAGGAGTGGAATATAGAAAAACAGAAGGAACACGGGAGAAAAATCCAGGATCTGGTAGTGGAAATTAAAAGGAGATTATGGAAAAGAGAGAATTGCATGAAAGTCGAGGGAGACATAAATTATGTGTGGAATAGATTTGCTGGTCGTGTAAAGAATACTGCAAAGGAAATTGTTGGTAAGAGTAGGAGTAGAATGCTAGACAACAAGGAAACCTGGTGGGGGATGAGAACAATTAACAAATCATAGAAAGTAAGAAAAATCAATTCAAAGTATGGCAGAAGAGCGAAAGGAGATAAGATTGAATGGAGTTTAAACGCTTGTGTAAAGAAGTCAAGTGTCCAGTAAGTAAGGAGTAGTTTAAGAGGTTTGATAGGTTAGAAACAAAGAAAGTCCAGAAAGAAGTCTATATTTGTTTAATTATATCTATATTATGTATTATCCTAATAAATAGATCAACTCAAAATCTAAATAGCATTATTATAACACTATAATGTTATATAATGTAAGTAGGGTAAAATGGAGATTGCATTAGGTTATTTACGTTAGATATAATCCCCCCGTACACTTCCTCCACCGATTGGAAGGTGAGTGGATGAGGCGGAGGGAACCAGCTCTCTCCATTTTACCCTACTTATGTATATAGAGTAATATTACAATATTGGAAGCATCGCCTTTAATTACATATAATTTAGAATGTTTCTATTTAATACTACAAATATTGAAGTGTATAGTTTTATAATAAATTGATGAGTATTTTGTTTGTAATATTTTCATTTAGATGCTATCTATATCATCACGATATCCGTTCATTGTTTTAAATATGTCAAATAAAAAACATGATGTTAAAATAATAATACTTTAAATCTTCATTCTTTAAAATAACATTTTTATTATAACTTATTAAGATTTTAAATTATATTCAACTCAATCATATTAAATAATTACATTTTTTTTTATTAAAATTATTGTGTTTTACGTTAATGAATCCTCATAAAACTTTATTTAAAAACTCACCAATACATCAAACTGACAATATTATTAAATTAAAATTTCTCAATTCATTAAAGCTAATTAGTTTTCTTTATTTATTATGTGGATTTAGAAACCTGTCATACTGTGTATGGTCATCTAAATTTTTAATTTTGAAAGGTTCATCAAGAGTAAACATTCTTGATGAATTTTTTCGAACAGGAATCTACTTTTTACTATCATTTATTTTTCTTCAAAGACCACCATTTTATTATTTTTACTATGAATTAATTCTTTTTGGGTAACCTTTTTGGTTGTTCGGTATAGTGAAAAAATAACAACAAAGTAAGTAAATTATTTTAACATTAACATAAAAACTTTATTGTTATATTTCAAAATATTTGCAGGTTCATTAAAAATATACTCAGCTATGATTTTAAATATTCTGCCCTTCCACCACTTATTGAAATGCCTGCATTTAATTATAAATTTTGTATTTCAAATTTAATATTATTCTTCATTTTTAAAATATCAATTCTCACTATACTAACATTTGCGGTCTCTAGTAAAAGATTCAGCATCATGGAATTCATAACAAATTTCGTATTTGGCATACCAAGGTTAAGTGATTTTGTTATAGTTTTTAGTGCATGTTTCTTCTTAAGGCAAATAGGACATATATTTTCCATTTTAAACAAATTTTGGAAACGATTACCAGGGGAACTTATTAGAGCACCAGGCCATTGGTCTAAGAATGAAATTGCTATGCTAATAGAGAGTTGCAGACTACTTCATGCTAATCTCAGTGATATTCTCAAAACATTTAGTTATGCATATGGTCCTATATTAGTGTTCTTCTTTTTATTCGTACTTATAGACATGGCGTATAGTATGTTTGTTATATTATATTTGAATTATACAATTCTAGCAATTTATTTATTAACACAAGATAGTCTATTCATCATTGTACTTCTGAAACAAGCAACATGGACTTTTAATCGGGTAATTTTAGTCAATCATACATTAGTAAGATAGTAACTATTGAGAAGCCTTTAATTAATTCATTTTAACTTAAATTAATTAGTACAAAATAATAGAAATTAATTACAATTTATTAATCAAGTACCTTTATATTTCAATTTTCCTAATAAATAAATAAAATAAAGCATCGTACATTTAGAAAAGAAAGATTATTTCACTTTTGCGATTGTGTTAAATTGCCGATTTACCGGAAGAAATAAGGTTACAGGTGAATATTAAAAATAGTAACATGACTATAGCACAACTTGCCCTATTCAAAATTATATTTTATAAAATACATTGAATATGAATTTTATGGGTATTAAGTTAAGTTATGTTGCGGTTGGTATTTTACCGCACTCGCGTGGGGTTATAATACTAGGGAACAAAACACAACACTTTTTGGTTCAAAATAAACATTGTATGATTTATTTGGTGTTTTGAACAAAACTTTATATTGATTTATATAACTTTATATCAGAAACAAACACAGTAAGCAATATTGACAGAAAATATATACATGTATGTATGCGAAAGGCACAATGTCGTAACGGCGTGTTCGGTGCTGTGTAGCTGACGGCAAGCGTTACGACCAAAAAGGTGTCACGGAGATGACTTAACGTATATTTGCGGCGGGTCGTAGATGGACGTGCGGCACTTGCTGGACTTTGTACCGTGGCGTATCGCACACGGTGTTAGTCAGTCAAACTACCATATGCACGTAGTAGGGCGACGGCTGATAAAGGTGTCACGGGTCGCTGGGCTCCGTGTATAGAGAACGCCGCGGGACCGTGTCAAATATTTCATAAAATTAGTACTTTTATAGATATCATTCTTAGTATGTAATATTTTATTTATTTTTACATTCATTTAAATTTCGTTTTAAGTAATTTTATAATCTATAGTTGCAGTTTTTTATGAAAATAATGATTTGAAAGCAAGTGGTACATTTAAATACAATTTAAAACTAATTTTATCGGTAAGGTTTTACTATAAATCCTCCATAAAGTATTATATAAATTATTAATATTATTACAGTTATTACAGTTTTAAATTCATGAAAGTGTAAAGTAAAACCAATTAACTAACATATTTATGTTAATTAGTTTTTTTATTAAGATAATAATAAATAAACATAAAATTATCCAATAGAGATGAGGAAATTTATATAATTTTTNTAAACATAAAATTATCCAATAGAGATGAGGAAATTTATATAATTTTTATTATTATTAATTGTTATGGTTGATTAATTAATTGGTTATTGTTAACATATTAATTTATTTATTCTACACTT